TCGGAAAAACGTAATGGAGGCCCTAACAGAACAATAGGACCGATGCCCTTGTTGCTCAAGCACGGAAGGTGCTGGGGAGTGCTCCTTCCAGCGACATGCCAGCAATGGTCCAAGAGTTGTTGCCCAACGTCACGCAATGGAATGCTGCACTGGCGCCGTTCATCTCGCGCGTTCCAGATCCATCCCTAGCAATCACGAACGCATTCGGTGGCTCACTGTCCATGATCTCGCCCACTCCATCCGATTCAATCAAGCGAACGCTATCTCGAGATGGAGAAGGAAATTCTGCCGCGCTGCGTATGGCTCAATACACGACCCAAATCATCAAGAGTACGGGCATTTTTAACAGCGCTACACATGAGCAAAAGATCACTGTCTGCAAATACATGGCTCTTTTCCTACAATTTGCGAGCGATAACATCAGCGTACCCGGGTCAATGCCCCTTTGGGAGTCCGTCGACATAGACACTGAGCCCGAGATAGTCGACTTCGTCGCTGAAGCTCAGAGCTTGTTTGGAGGCTGGTTGCACAGCAAGGATTCGTCGACGTCAGAACTCATTGCCGAAGTGCAAAAGCAGCTCCTTCATGACTCTTGCGGCCTTATGACTTCGTCTTATTACAGCGGCAGAGCATATTCTGCTCTGACTGCAGAAGTCGCTGAGTTGCATAGTCTCTCGGCACACACCAATGATGCTGATTTGCTGAAAGGGTTTCGGAGATCGAATGATGCCTTCGTTGCAGCTGCGTATTTGACATCTGCTTCGGAATCGGAAGAGCTTTTCAGACTCTGCAATTACCTTCTGACTGATTTGACAGAGTACGATTTTCGTAAGAACCTAGCAGAAGGTATGTCAACCATCGTCAGGCCGCTGGGTGCTTATGGCTCACAGTAACAGGAATGCGCAAATTGTGCTTAGTTGGTTGCATTCTCTCGAGAGCGCAAGACTATGTCAACGACATACCACAACAACGTTTGGTCTTCTTTGTCCAACACTTGATTGGACAGCTCGAGACTAGCGTCTCATCGTTCACTGTTGCTGGAGGGCAAATAATGGTTGTTCTGTCGTTCATTCTTCCCGCGGTGAAGGAAATATATGGCCCTTTTTGGTCAGTAATTCTTGACGAGATACAAAAGGCTGGCATGGAAGCCGATCTTTACGCGCTTCACGCAAGCCTGAGACTTCTGAATTTATTACGACGACCGTATATGCTCGAGTCAAATGATGACTTACTTGACGCTTGGAGCGAGAAAAAGACGGCCATCGCACGATGCTTAGTGGATTTATTGTGGCAGCTCCAAGGTAAGCGTCCTGCCTTCTTTGTGTGAGTTAAGGCATCCTGCGCCTGCGATGGCTACAATTCTGCCGTTCGCAATGATCTGGATATCAATTCTGTGTAACTTTCACCGTTGCTGACGGTATGATCTCGCGGCAGGTTACCCAGATGACTCACATCAACCACGACGAATAGTCAACGAATTACTGAAAAGACTGCTGGTCGATTTGGCTCAAGACGTGAAAGTCGAGGTACAGGACCTTTGTCCTGTGATCGCTTCAGAGTCTGCAGCCCTTCAAGAGGCTGCATACGAGCTTTTGCATTCGAAAATACCTGCGAACCAGGAGCAAGTATCCGTTGACAAAGCCTTGTCGAATGATTTTGTCGCAAAATTACCAGAGGAGGTTGTGTCCTTGATCCTTGCACCGCCATCAATAGCGTCCATGGCCAAGCACAATTTCGAACGAAACATACCACCGTCGCTACGCAGCTACATTCTCAGCTGGCAGATTACCTTCGACCACTGGGAAAAGGCAAGCTACAAAGTACAAGCGGACTATGTTGCCGCACTCAAGGAAGGCACATACACGCAAGACTTGTTGGGCTTTATTTTTAACGTTCTCGTAAATGGGAGGCAAAAGCCCGTTGATGCCTCGAGATATGACTTTCAAACCTCCGGTCTGGGAGCCGACCAGACCCCAGAACAAGAGACCCACGGGGCCCTTATCCACCTCTACTATCTCTGTTTGCGGAGGCTACCCTCAATAACCAAAGACTGGTGGCGGGATAGTACCTCCCGCCAGCTCAGTATAGCCGTCGAGTCCTGGACTCAAAAATACATCTCCCCCCTCGTCATTGCCCAAGAACTCTCAGTCATCAGCGACTGGGCCCCCTCACAATCCACAGCCGACCAACCAATGACTGTCAAAGTCTCTCCCTCCGCTCGCGAAATTACCGCCTCAATCCCCATTGACGAACAAACCATGACCATTGCCATCCGCCTTCCCCCGGCCTACCCGCTCGCCCGCGCAGAAGTTGAGTCAGTCCATCGCGTCGGTGTCGCGGAGAAGAAATGGCGCTTCTGGATCATCAATGCCCAAGGTGTTATCAACTTCTCTTCTGGCGGCGCTGGCGAGGGGAATTCGATCATCGACGGCTTGATGGCGTGGAGGAAGAATGTGACGGCTGCTATGAAGGGGCAGACGGAGTGTGCCATTTGCTATAGTGTTGTTAGTGCGGATCGGCAGTTGCCGAGTAAGAAGTGCTCGACATGCAAGAACACATTCCATAGCAGCTGTCTGTTCAGGTGGTTCAAGAGCAGCAATTCGAGCAGTTGTCCGTTGTGTAGGAATAACTTCAATTATAGCTAGGAAATGTGTCTTTGCCATTGGTGGAGTATGGAACCTTCGAGCTGGCGAGAGTTGAAAAGCATTGGGGGCTTTACGATTAAGAAGGCAAGACCCTCATGGTCACAGACGTTGGGTTATGAAGCGTGCTAGTAGTCAATAGACAAGATTTGGTTACTAGCCTCTGACGACGCCCAGGAGCTAGACGCACTTCCCTGAGGTATTTTCCCGTAGTCCATAATCATTGTTCTGTGCCATGACCGAGCTTGGTCATTGAAAGGGTATATTGCTATTGTACAGAGCTGTCATAAACCTTTTTCCTCGTGATCCTGAACCTTCCCAGAGTCCGAAATGCCTGATTTCTGAGCGCCTCGCTTTTGCCCTTCCCTGTACTTCCCCCATTTCTCCATCGAGTACCTCCATGCGTTCCGAAAGCCCGAAGTAACAATTCCTTTAGTGCTCTGACTCCAGCTTGGCCATTTGATAATCTTTGTGATCGCCGCACTGACTTCTTTATTGAGCGTTACCTGTTCATCACCAGCTATCCTTTGCTCGAAAGGACCGCCTTGCTTCCGCTTGATCCTCGAAGGATCCTCGTCGTTGGCTTGATCCATCATCTTGTTGAACTCGAGCCGCGGAATCTGGTATTTGGACTGATACTGGAAATAGAGCTTCTCTCGAAAATTCTTAGGTAGGCGGCGAACCATATTTCCTCTTTTTGTAGGATCCATGTCCTGTACCAGCGTGGCGTCAGTGTCAGGATCATCGACCCATGCGGGCGAGCTGCAGCGCGAGTCTTGGAACGAGACATTAGGAAGGTTTTCGATCAGAGGAGCGTATAAGCGACGGAAGTTGGGCAGCTGGTGTTTGACAATATTCGAGACTTTGTTCAAGTTCTCCCCCCCTAAAGACATTCGAGGGTCACCGAGGTATGAGATCCCAGCGATCGTTTTGTAGAGGTCTAGTTCGGTGAATTTTGGCGGTAGGAGAAGAAGCGCAGTGCGAACGGCGGATATAAGATTGACCTGATTAGCCAGTCGGACACGTGGATCGTCACGGAGGATCTTGACAGGCTTTTGCAGGCGTCCTGCTAGGTAAAGAGTGTCCCATGTAGAGAGGTCGCGGCACAGCGTATCGAGATTGACGACACCGTATTTGATTAGGGTTCCATTGACGGTCACATAAGGATTGTAATAGACACCGGCCCCCCAATTATCTTGTACCCGGGAGACGAAAGCAGACCCCAGAGAGCCGACCGCTGAATAATGATCGCGATGTTCTTGCAGATTCATAGAATGCCAATGTTGAGTGTATGAAACGCCAAAGATAAAGTCTATCATCTTGCCGTTGCCTTTCTGCACCGTGGATATGGCTGGGCTCGGGTTTGGATGCGGCTTTGTAGGCCTCGACGAGCTCGAGGCAGTCTGAGGGAATACGCCAGAGCCGTAAGCAAAGGCATACCGAATTGGTGCTCGGAATTTCCACAAGATCTGCCGCAACGCTTCTTTGAATTCATCGTTGATCACAATATGTTGATTGATGCCAAAGTTATCGGACGGAAGGTCTTTGAAGGCCTGTACATTATAGTCGAGGTTCTCGTCCCAGTCTGGTGGCATGTCAATTGGTCGCGCTGACGATGTCTGTGAAGGGTTTGGGGTCGGTCCTGAGGAGGCTGGGGAGGTGCTGCTGCCTGAAGTTGGGGGTCTTTCGGACTTTGATGTAGACGTATCACTGCCTGTGCTGCTAGAAGCAGTAGAGGCGAGTCGTTGGTATTGATGCTGTGTACTCCGGGGCGTCCGATACTGCCATCCTACTCTTACCAGCCCGAGGCTGGAATTTGTCTGTCGCCTAAACCCATGGCACTGCTAAACAGTCATCGTTAGCATAGGCTCGGAGTCAGGAGAGTCGGGTAAGCGGGAAGAGCGAGGACCTCACTGGTACTAAGGTTCTCTGCATTGTAAACAAGGACAAAAGTTCAAGTGCCAGAATGCTCTATTAGTGCTATCGCGGATGGCCAGAGATCTCTAATAACCTGGGGATGCTCGAGCACTCCATATGCGATGATACGGAGCACGGATGAAGGATCCTTGACTGCTAGGAGCGTTCTGAATATTTAATGCCTGTTGAGCTGGCCTTGACATTAAAAGCTCGCTCGCTCGGCCTTTCTGCGGCTTTAGCAAGATCAGGTACTAGCGTAATTAAAGGCACGCTAATCAGACCGCGCGAGCCTCAACCGGCAAAACCAAAACAAACAACTTCACCACCAAGCCAATTCGTCGCAGCTTCTCCTTGGATCCTGACCTCCGTTTCGGTTGTGACAAAGAATCCCACCAGCTGAGGAGTATAGAGCGACTTCGCGCTATGACAGTTGGAAGCACAATGGAGAGCTACGCGGCGCGACTAGCCTCTTTCAACACAGCACATCCGGCTACAAAAAAGAGAGCCTCAAATGCTAGTAGTGGAAAGACTCTGAAGTGGCCTCACAAGAATCCATCCCCTCCACAGGTGCGTTCTCGTTTCTAGAAACCATCCATAGCTCAATGCTGACGGAAATCCAGCTTGCGCGCGCGGGCTTCTACTACCAGCCAACCTCCTCGTGTCCGGACAATACTACGTGCTACCTATGTAAAAGCAACCTAGACGGCTGGGAAGAGAACGACAATGCTGTTAATGAGCACCTGAAGCATTCCCCAAACTGCGGATGGGCGATTACGATCGCCACTGAACTCGAAATTGAAGATGGCAGCCAAAGCCAGGAGGATCCGATGTCTGAGATGATGCTGGACGCAAGGAAAATGACATTTGGCTCCAAATGGCCTCACGAAAATAAGAGAGGTTGGACATGTAAGACCCAGAAGGTATGTCCCGGACGCTATCACCACGGATTGTCTTCGCTCATTGAAGATGCAGATGATTGAGGCCGGATGGTACTATTGCCCCACGTTGGAGAGCGAAGACTTCGTCAAGTGTTCGTATTGTAGTTTGAGCTTGGATGGATGGGAGCCGAAAGACAATCCCTAGTAAGACAGATTGTCTACTTTCGATTGTTGTACTCGTACTCATGTCAAATAGTGATGAACATCAGCGGCGGTCACCAGACTGCGTGTTCTTTGCTCGTTCGACTACAGCAAAAACCAAAGCCGGACGTTCCAAAAAAGGACGTGCTTCGAAAGCCTCCCGCATGTCTACACAGTCGAACTTCACCACTGTTTCTGAAGGTGTCTCAGTCGCAGATACCGATGCCCACGGTAATGATAGTATCATGTCTGTGGTCGAGCCAGCCAAGGCCGCGAAATCAGGGAAAGGGGCAAAGAAGGGGGCCAAAGCTAAAAAGCTAGCAGCCAAGTCAAAGAGACAAGCTAGCAAAGCAGTGGACGAAAATACACAGGTCGCTAGTAGTTTTCTGGAGCCAGAGGATGATAATTTCGAGGTAAAAGTCGAGATCGGTCCTACGCAGCGTAACCGGAACAAGAAAAGAAAAAGCGACGAGATAAGCACAACGAATGACGTGTCGAACCAGGCAGAGGCTCATACCCAGGAGGAGGATTCTCAAGACCAACCAAAAAAGCGGCGTGCAACAAGAACACGAGGAAGTATGGCGCAGACGCGCAGTGCACCTAGTCCTCCTCCACAGGAAGAGCACGACCATGATGCACAAATGACAGATGCTGAGGCTATTCCTCCACCAGTGCCACCTCGGGGTCAGAAGAAAGGGAAAAGCGGCAGCAAAAGAGGCTCCTCTAACGTACGCAAAGCCTCAACTGTATCGGCTGCGTCTAAGGCTTCTCTTCGAGCCACCATGCCTCCCGACGAGGAAATCGATGCAGCGTTGGAAGCAGAGCTAGACCGCCCCTTGACAGATGAAGAGGGCGATATTGAGCCACCTGCCATGGCAGCACCCAAGGGTCGGCGCCTGACAAGGACAAAACCTGGATCGAGGAAGGCGACCGCATCTGTTGCGTCAACCCGAAGAACGACTAGAGCAAGTACAGTCACAATGGATGACTCGACGATGCAAGGCATATATCCATCCTTGCCGGATCCTGTCGAAGAGGCTCGTGTGCCGACTACCGAGAAGAACGAACATGCGGCCTTAGCGCATGACAATTCAGAACATTCAGGATCAGAAGACCATCAGAGGAAAGTAAGAACACGCAAATCGGAGCAACAAAACGGATACAACAAGGAGCCGAAGAAGTCGGAGGAGTCAATCGCCGCTGCTGGGGATAAGATGGACGAAGAAACGCCCGTAACAGAGCCTCAGCAGCCAAGAAGCAGACAAGCATCCAGAAAATTGTCAGCACGGAACACCCGAGTATCAGACATCCCTAGTCCTTTCGAAGCTATAGATCCGGGTTCCGATATCAACAGCTCCACTCTAGGCACGCAGACCGCTCAGGATGACTCGGGGCATGAGACTGATGCTAGCGTTGTGAAGCAAGCTTGCACCAAACGTGGTAGTAAGAAGGCTCCTGCAAAGAAGGTGAAAGGAGGTAAGAAGACTGCGTTGATGAGCCGAAATATCGAAGACCTCGTGCAGCCTATTGTAGTGAATGTATCGCCTGTAGAGCAAGGTACTCACACAGGTCCGGTCGATCATGATACTGGCAGCGAGGGATCCGTCCCCGTGGATGTTGAAGAAGCAAAGAAGCAACGGAAACCATCGAGAGCGATCGCGAAATCGGGCAAGACCAAGAAGACTCTGCTGGAGCCTGAGGCCTTCGCGCCAGAAGGATCAGCAGCTCTGCTGATTGACCAGCCAAGTACAATGGAGGAGACCGAAGTCGCTCGCCCTTCACCGCAATCACTATCAGAACATTTGACCCCAAGGCCAGCTCCCTCTCCGCAATCGTCCGATGCTGAAAATCAACCGCCGTCGTCTCGCTCATCCAAACTCCGCCCTCCACTTCTTATGCAATCTCCTTCAAAATCACAAATAAATCGTGTCCCACTGGCAGTCACCACGCCCGTCAGCTCCCCCTCGAGAAACAACATCTCAATGCTACAGACCATTATCCCATGGACTGCGATTGAGATGGAACACATCTTCGAGGGTACGCCGACTACAGACAAGGAGAACAGCCCTTTTGCCTTTAAGGAAGCAGGCAAGAGAGTGAAAAGTCCATTCACAAGCCCGGAGAAGAAGTTGACAGTCGAGGAATGGATTCAATCTAATGCGCAGAGAGGAGAGGAAAAACTGCGTAACGAATGTGAGCGGCTAGTGGGGAAGTTTGAGGACCAGGGTATGCGAGCATTGAGAGTACTAGAGGGCATTGTGTGCGCTGAAAGACCGTGATGATCAATATCTTGACTAGTCTTTGTAAGGATGTTGGGTATATTGGGTGTATGTAATGCCAGCGTTTACAACCAGGGTCAGAGCTTCAATCGGGGTTCCTGTCGAATGGATGAAACGCATTTCCCCCGTCCTTTCGCCTCTCCAATCCTCGCACACTTATGAGCACCAAAAAGTCTCTTTGGGAACACGAGGTATGAACGGCAGTACCTCGCAAATATGGAATCAAACCAATTCGCACTACTTGGATAACAAAAGGGCAGCGGCCGAACACTTCGATTTCGATGCCACAGTTGGGATTACAAAGTCTCGAAATCAACAGAAAATTGCGACAGTTCGGTGAGATTTCTCGGCTCTTCAACAGCAGAGGACATAATCATGCCGCCACTATATGAATACTTCTCTAGAGCATCCCTCCAACAAGCAAACGCTGTGAGCGATCAGCTGCGCTATGGACGAGGGTCGGTGACAAAAGTCTCTGCCGACTTTTAGTGGGGGCTGCGGGAGAAAGTCGGCAGAGACTATTGTCACCGACGCTGAGAGTGAGAAGTGCGCCAAGACGCTTGTTCCTACTCAATCGATCTTTCGTGACAGTGGAAAAAGCCAATTTCGGCTCATATCGACGGCGAGCACTACCGGCGGTGTATACTCTGTACTTTACACCGGCGCGCTTGAAGAGCAGATAATGTTAGACTACTACTTGTTACTTGTCTGCTCTACAAGATCGGAGATAAAGGCAGAGCTTCTCTTGATTTTGAATCTTGTAACAAAGGCGTGTTTGCTGTGGAGTATGTATCTTAACAACTTTTGGCCATCAGGATCGAAGATAATGCCACTTGATTCTACCTTGTTCAAGACCATAGATTTCCAAAATTCTTCCGCTTTATGGCGAGAGCCGACAACAAGTAAAGTACTAGAAAGTAAATCACGAGATCTGGCGCCAAGCGCGTCTAGAGGAACGTGGTCGTGAATGCAGGGAAGCGGCAGTGAAGTTACTTATCCCAATTGAGGGTCTCTTCTGCAGCCAGCCATTGAGGCCCGAAACATGGTCAAATCCCCAGGATCAAAGGGTAGGCCTGCGTACTATCGCCGTTCCGCTAAGAATGACCCTCCAGTCTTCTTTCCGAATCTTCCTACCCTCACGAGCTGGCGGGACGGCGGGAAATGCCCCGAGACCATCACGACAGCAACAGAGTATGACGCTCGCGTTCAGAAAAAGCGCGTCGAGGTTGCCGAGGTCGGGGAGAAGATTGCTCAGGGACTCTATAAAAACGAAGACAGGACCACCACAAGGAAACCAGTCCCTGCTTCCACGCGCGATGTCCATGCACGGGATACGGCAGCTTCTAGCAGCAAAAGAAAGCTAGATAGGACCAGTCCAGAGTCTTCACCTATGGCGAAGAGGATACACAGCACCGGTGGTGCCGGGAAAGAAGGCCAGGAGAAGAGATCTCAAGTGGAAAGTGCAGACGGATATAAGTATCTGAAGCAAAGTCAATTGCGAGAAGAGTGCCTGTCTCGTTCTCTACCAGCCGGGGGGGGCAATCAAGACCTTTCGAAACGCCTAAGGCTACACGATGCTGCTCGGGCGCAGATCTCTACTTCTCAGGAATCCGTGAACGAGCATGTTACTTCTTACACATCGTCCAGAGGGGAACCGTCAGACAGGTACACACATATGTTGCAGAAAGATTTACGGAAAGCGTGCGTGAAACGCTCCCTCCCAGTCGGTTTAACGAAAAGGGACCTCAGACGCTGTCTCAGGGTGTATGACGCTGCGCGAGCGCTGGGACTTACTCCCGAAGAGTCTTTAGAGGCGCAGAGGGCTACTTTTCAAGAGCACGCTCGGAGCGTCAGTCCTGGAGGGTCTATAGAAGAGAACGCATTTGGCGCTGCTCCTAAAGAGGCTGTTGAAGTGCAACCGCTGAACAAGACTTCTCGAGAGTCCATCGTGGATAACGGGCAGGGGCCCACGTCTCTGGAATCTTCAGAAGGTGATGCTTCCCCTCTTACAAACTCTCAGATGTCTTTAGGGGAAGATATTGCTTCCTCTTCTGCTACTACGAAGGACTCTACTCAGGACTCTACCCAAAATCGCGGCACTTCTGATATATGTCCTGGACCGGCAGCGACACTTAACTACGCCGCCATGGGCAAAACTGAATTAAGATCACTGTGTATATCTCGCTCCCTTAGGCAGCATGGTTTCAGTGCACCGCAGCTCCGCATGGCCCTCAAAACTTACGACAGGAAATTGCCCGGACAGGCAAACAATGCAGAAGTCGATGTCGACGCTGAACATAAAACTGCGAAGCATGGGGACGCACCCCCTGCCTCTTCACCGCCTGTTGCGTTCATCGATCTTGACTCAAGCTCGCAGGATGGCGAAATCCGTGAGCAGCAAACGCGGTCGGTGGTCACCAGCGGCAGAATCGCGCGTGAAGAGCCAGTGTCAGGCTTTCTGTGGACGGTCGGCAAAGGTCAGCGCCCGCCGGTATCCACTGACGCTCAAGTAGAGGTTCGGCAAAGAGGGTCAGTGGAGCGGGCAAGCGCTGGGATACATTCCGAGAAGGATCCCTACAGTACTCCCTATTCGCCACGACTAGTCCAGAAACCCCCGAAAAGAATCGGCAATAAGTCAAGCCCCCAGGGGACGCTGTATACTAAATACCCGATGTCGCTACAACAGCCTCTTGTCTCGCTGGTCAACCTCACCATCAGGGATACCAAGAGTAGTGCCAGCGAAAGTGCTCATCAAGAGACCCAGATGAAGACAAAGCCACCATCGGAGCTTGCTCTTAAAATGGCAGAGAAAGAAGAGTTCAACGCCAGATACGCCACTGAGCGCCCTTCTTGGATTTGCTGTTGTGAGACCCCTGGCTATGAAGTTAGACCAAAACAGCTCGCAGATTTCTCGGGCAATTGCTTTTACCACGTCTCCCAACTTGCCCAACGGGGGACTTTCACCATGAAAGAATACCAGGAATACCAAACTACTCAGCAGGCGCTGGATCGAATAGCATCGTGTCTCTGTCAAAAGCCTGCAGTTGATCATCCAGAACACCAAGTGACCATGACCCAGGGAGGGTTCATTCTAGCCCAAATATGGCGAGAGCAGTTGACAAGACGCCAGTCGGTGACTACTTTTAGGCCTGATATGGCGGCGTACCGAAGAAAAGGGATATTAGAAGTGATGCACAATGTTCTTCAAGATTTCATGATCGAGCTCTCAAGTCGACAGCCAAAACGGCCCCTTGTATTGTGGGCTCGGGTGGAAGCCATGGCCTGGTTCATCAATACTCTTCCTACGAGTAACGAGTGGCATTGTTTCCAAGACTGGAAAAGGCCTTGTCATTATATCATGTTGTTTGGTATAGCGCTACTAACGACAATTGATGTGCTGCTACGACAAAACATCTTCAAGGACAAGGAGCCGAAAGTCCCTAACCTGGGCCTGGTACTCGCCTTGTTCATCCAATGTACCTGGAACTCACCATCGTATACCATGAACTCATTTCACAATACAGATGCGTATAAGTCACCTTTTAACAACAATATATGCGTAAACAACGAGAATGGATGGGCAGCCGAGGTCGTTAGTCTGGCGGACCAACATGGGGTTCGGATAACTGGAGTAAAGAACATTAGTTACATCGTGGATCGATGGCGTCTGAGAAGGAAGGCCGTCGAGTTTATTGAAGATCAGGCTAGGAAGGAACAGTACGCCGTCCTGCACAGTGCGGAAACAATACCGCCCATCGAGGCAACATTGGCGTCCATAGCAGACAAAGCAGCTGAGACTCCGGCCAAGAGGGGAACGGGACAGCGAACAACGGTACGTAAAGTCCGGATCTCAACCTGAGTCATGAGGGATGTAGTTGGAGGGGGACAGAGCATTGTCACCCTGTTGTGCTCTTTGGACTTGCAGTGCGACTCACCTTTGTTTCATGAAAGGAGCTTCGTCCCCCCTGTTTTAGCCGTGTCAACTTGTCTTACGACTTGACTCGCACCGTCAATAGAATTCTCTTACCCGCATAATGTTCCTAGACCTGTCTTACACCCAATGCGTGTCTTAGAAAAGGTCCCTGTCTGGCTGTGTTTCCTAGACTTCCTTGCGACCTGAATCAGTCTGATACAAATGGCATGCTGACTTTGATTTACTCAACAGTGGAGGCCCGAAGACGATTACGATGACAATGGCAGAAGGCTATGGAAGAATTGGTTCTATCTACGCGAATTCGAGATATACACAAAAGAATACGAGCCAACTAATGAGTCAAGCTATCGAGCTCGCGGGTAAAGAGAACATGAACGCAATCGCAATGGTACTACCTAGAAGCCGGTTAGTCCACTTTGGTTAAGGACAAAGGTGTTGTGCTGCCCCTCTTTGTTCGCTTTGTCAGAGAGTGCATAGCATTTGTCCCATTGTCCCATTGTCCCCTCTATTCCGTGCTCTGTTATTGTCGATCTGTCCGGCCTCCTTCACATGCTATCTCTATGTAACTTCTCGTTCGTACTTCTTCTCATAGTCGCCCTCTTACAGGAGCTCTCGCCCAACAATGGATCCACAAATAACAACCTTCTTGCTCCTGCAGCTTCTAAAGACTTGGCATCCGGATGTCATAGCTCTTGCTGGGCTTACCCCAACTGATTTGTCAAAGACGCCAAAGCTGCAGACTCCACCGTTAATTGCGATCCTCGCGCGCTGGGCAGATGCCCCGGCCACAGCAAATGAGCCAGAGGGCAAGGAGCTTCCGTGCGGGCACAGAGTCGACGTATGCTGGATTTTGACTCGCTCTAATTTATTTGGCGACCTGGTTCGGGGACGAAGGCCCCGGTCTTTGGAATGTCCGCACTGTGATATTCAGTACACACTTCCAATGATCCCGGATCCTTCGGTGGTAGACGGTCTTCAGGCTCGGATAGACCTTATACAGTGGGTTTGGGCCCGCGGCAAGGATGCACCAAATAACGCCGACGTGAAAATGGTCAGGATACTTCGATATATTTTAGTCCACATCGGACACCTACCCCGGAACTTAGAGATGACCTCGAGCTTTTTACGGGTTGGGCCAAGCCAGCGGCGATTAAGGCAGACCCTTCGGCTCTTTGATCAAGTGGGTGTGGCCGGGGCGGTAGGAAAGATCTACGCAGGCCCAGGGCTGTTACGAGGCACAGAGCCTTTCTGCAAGTTTCACCCTTCAAAGGCACGGCTACCGGGTTATGCGCAACTCAAGTATCCTCCTCCTTCTCCAGGTCGATACTGCGACTGCAAGGAGCCACATTGGGCACGAGAACCCAGGGCATGGGCATCCACACCTGCGGAGGACGAAGAGGAGTGGGGGTTTGCAGTACCTCGGATCGAGAAGTTCGGAAAGATTGGAAAGTCCAGACAGAAAAAGATGGTGAGATTTGCGGCCCCTGTCATCACACACATTCAATACTTCGAGCCTTGGTGGTGCGATGAATATCGGGACAGCAACCGTTATTATTCATCAGGATCGTGCAGGACATCCGTTGATCGTTCCACTAAACTGGATGATGACCGCGAGATTGCCAGGTTGAATGCTGAGGCATTTGCGGCTGAGCGACTCAAGATCAAACGACGTTTATGACGACAATGGAAGAAGGCGATGGAAAATATGGTTCGTTCTACAATAACTTGACAATGTAAGACTGCAAGGCGACTGGTCCTCCTAGCTTGCTGTCGACCTTGGGGTAACAAGACAATGAAGTCGATTAGGACGACTTTACCAGTAGACAAGGCAGTTCATTGTATTTAGGCATAAAGGGGTTGTATTACCATTGTCATCTTTGTCTCCTTTGCCAAAGAAAGTAACTACATTGTTTTATGACCGACTCTACTTCAACATGTCCTTCCTCTCAATATTTTCCTTCTTTACATCCCTCTAACAGCTTCTACTGTGACTACACTATCTTCGAAACGAAATGACCATGGCAATGAACGAATGGCGGTGTTCTGGAGTCACATGCATGCTACTCCTACCTCAACTCGTGAAGATTTGGCTACCGGATTATAGTGAAACTGATCGGAGTCCTCTGAGCGAGCAGGCTCCAAGGTTGGGAGTCCCACCATTGATATCTTTCCTGGAGGGCTTGTCCGATGTTCTCACAACCAATGAAGTCAGGGGTAAAAGATTCCCATGTGGTCATGTCGTCAGCGTGCGTTCGATACTCTCGTGTTGTAACTTTTTTGGGGACGCAATTTGGACACCGGGGCCACATTTCTTGGGCTGCGCGTGGCCGGGTTGCGACGATACTCTGGAATTTCCGAAAATCCCAGATCCGCGAGTCCTAGACGGCCTCCAGACGCGATTGGATCTGATCCAGTGGTCTTGGAACAAAGACACCCCGACAGAGGTCGATATGAATACGGTGAGCCTACTTCGAGATATACTATCCAGAATAGGACACTTGAGTCAAGATCCAGAACCAGAGATGGACGCCAACCTATCGCGGAGTGATCCGAGCGAGCCCTCGCTAACGCGAACACTCGTCCACATGGAATTAGAGGCCTATGGCTTGATGATCCAAAATCGGGAAAAGAGCACAGATATTGACTTACGGGGTAGTCAAGATTATTGCCGTTATCGAGCTGCTGTAGTGCCTACGGCGGGGCACTCTCTACTCCGGTACCCTATGTCGTCGCCAGGTCAGTCCTGTGTGTGCGTCACGCCTCACGAGTACGAACGAGAGGCCAGCAGCTGGGCTCGCACACCCGCGGAGACGGGATCGGATCTCAACGAGCCCAGGGACAGAAAGCTCAAGCAGCTTAAAACGGTACGCTTCGTTGCTCCAATTGTCACCGAGGTGCAGTATTTTGAGCCGTGGTGGTGCGACGAGTATCGAGACAGCGGCAGGTATTGGTCGACAGGTCCGCACAGGAAGTCGATTGATTATTCCACTCCCGGCGACGATGACTGGGAGGTTGAGAGACTGGAGCATCCTGACGGCTTGGCGGCTCAGATATCAAGTGAACTGGAACACGAGGAAAGCGCCTGCGGTACGGGTGTCGACGATGACGGGGTCCTGGACGACGGTATCTTGGACGAGATGGAGAGGGCAAACGAATCATGGGACGACGAGACCCTGGATGGGTTGGAGAGGGCAAACGAATCATGGGAGGACGACACCCTGGGCGACTTGGAGAAGCTTCACGAATCGTGGGAAGATCGGTTCTGATTGTTTGTGCATGTAGGAGTATCCAGAGTTGCTAGTATCAAAAGCTATTATTGTTGTAACAAAATAAGATGACGCAGCGCAATGCTCAATGCAGATCACCGAGTGAGATACAACCTGATCGCAAAACACAGATTGGCAACGAAACTCATGACCAGTAGCCCAATCACCCCCATCGCCAATGACGCCTCAAACCTTCCCACCCTCTTCCTCCACAACCTCGCAACCGCCCTTCCCTTCCCAACACCCCTCCCACCCCTGCAAGTCGCTCCAATGACAACCTCACACCCTCCCTCTCCCGCACGACATTCCCCATGCGCGCGCCTGGTCTCCATGATCCTCCTCACCTGCCCACCGCCAGTGCTGCAAAACGCGGCGTCGGTTCTCATGACGCACTTTTCCTGCGGCCATTCCAGATTCCGCGTCTTGCGCTCGAGCAGCCAGGCGACTTTGAGGCGGACGTTGGTGTCGACTAGGTTGTAGAAGTGCGTGTGGGTGTGTTTGAGGGCGAGGGCGTCGGGGTAGGGGAGGTGGGGGAGGATGAGGAGTTGTAGCTCGAGGGGTAGGGTGAGGAGGGGTGGTTTTGCGGTCGTGGAGAGCAGTGGGTGGTGGACATTTTTGGTAACTGTGTTTTGAGGCAATTGCATGGTTGTTTATGAGAGCTTGATGGCAAGAAGTGTAGGAAGGAACGTCAATTGAATATTTCCGTGAAGCAAACGGATATACATGCCGTTTGGTTGCTGCCTGTACTCTACTAGTAGCGCTTAAACAAAAATGACACGTTGACGCGAAACGGCAAATCGAGGTCTTGATCTCTCATCTCACCAGGCACCAGACAAATGAAATTGGATTGACAGCATTTTAAAGGCTGGTAGTATAGTATATGATGATGGTTCAGAGCCTTTAGTACCTTAGATTTGGAGACGCTCAAGAATAAAGGTCATGTTGGCGATTATGTGGCTCAACAAGCGAGATATGTTGGATGCTGAATCGTGGGTTGAGGTAGCGGGCTGATGCCAGCTAAGCTAATGCTCTTTGTGTGAGTTTTCATTCGTAGTTGCTGCTGCTTCTGCCAATGGTCAGTCCCGGCTTTCACCTGTATTGTAAATATCTCGAAAGCAGTGAGTGATCAGAACGTCAAGCACCTCCCTCTCCTGCCTTCCTTCTCATAGTTCGAAATGGATTCTCTCTTGTCTAGGGTTGCGTTCCAGAACCTCCAGCTCAACATTGAGCCTTCAGTAATCATCACGTTTCGAACCCCATAAACTCACCAATTTCGAAACCGCCGATCGAACCGATATGTATCAACAGACAAGGAACTCTGACGGGCGGGAATACATGATCCATGCCGGTTTTTGAGGAAATTGGGCTCGAAAGATTTAAGATACTGTAACCTATGAAAGGATCACCTAATTACCGAGGGCGAGATCGAAAGCCACGGAGACACACCAGCGATAGCCCTGATTCCCTGTGCGGAAGACGATTGCTGATATAAATAGCACTGAAAGCTGATATGACAGGCATACAATAACGGGGTCAGCCTTGACATGTGAAAATGGATGAGATGCTCTGCACAAACTTGTTCATTCGACTTCTGGAGTATTAGCGTTGGGTAGATAGACAGCCAACTCACAATTGGCGTAGTATGAGACTCTAGAGTACTTGTAGAGATGCGATGTTTCGCCTTGTATCCTGGCTCACCTGGTCATGTGCAGTTGCCTTGAATTAGAGACCACTCACGTGATTTTTCTTGGCACGGTCGATCAAACTCTGCCCCGCAATCAGTCAAACATTCACCCCATTGGACCATCTAACTCAAGCCCGGACCATATTGATATTTGCGGAGGCACTTTGCATGTGCATGAGGTTGACCATAGTAAGCAAAGTCATTTGATGGCATTTTATGTAGTGCTCCCTCCACCTCGCATAGAGTCGATCAAAGCAAAGAAATACTTCTCCTTCCGTTGCCGTCGCATTGTCACTGCACTCAGCCCTCTGTTTGGCTCTCACCTTCAATCGCGAGCCCCGACAGTGCTAGGCTCGGTTCTCAGCTGCTAGACTGGCATTGTGAATGTACTAAAGCCAGGGTCAAGCGTACATGAGAATGTGGACCTATGGCACGAAGCCCGAAGGCTCCAAAGATCGGAGGGTAAGGCAGGGAGCAAGTTAAAGAAGCTGCTCCTGAGACTGCTGGAAGCGGTTCACGGGATGACTTTGATTGCCATCAATGATCGAAGGGTTCCCTGTGGCTAGACGTGCTGGCACCAGGTCTAGTACCGTACGCGCAAGCCAATAGTGCAGTGCCGTCAGAAGGACCGCACTACGGAAGCCATAGATCTGCTCTTCGGTGATTTTCATTGTGTTGCCTGCTCTGCCACCCTATGCCGCATCCCATTATTAGAAGATGAGGCACGTTCGATATAGAAGAGCATTCCGCGATGCGGGATCAAGAGCAGGCCAAGCCTTCGAGACTAAGACTCGTGGAAGTGAAATATTATCAAACCTTTGAAGCCGTGGAGCCGGAGAGCTTTGCTCAGGGTTAGACTGTTACCCAAGGCCTAGTCTTGACCCTTTGAGCTGCTACTGCGCGAAAAGTATCAGTGGAACACATCCGTTTTTCTTTGGGTTTGTCTGTCGTTCACCTGCTTGGCATCAAGGGCGGGAGACACCGGGATCAGCAGACCTTGAGATGTGAAGCTGAGGCTTGGGTAACAGTCGTCTCAAGGCCCATGGCCCCTATTCCTGAATACCAATCCTCCATTTGGACTGCTTGGGAAATATATCGGTAGGTGGTCCCTCCTCTACAGTAGCTGGAGTCACTGATTGCACCTTCTCTTGGGCGGAGACGTTACCTAGCAGGCTAGCTGCCAGGAAAAGCGGCAGCCTTCAATGACTGCTCTTTAAATCTAACACGGTATATGGAGTTTCAGTCCAATGCCTCTGTTTTTATCACACGAAAGAAGCCCTTTCTTTTTATCACACGGAAAAAGCTCAGAAAGAAATTTAAGCGAACAGAAAATCTGCTCCTCTCCTGCGTTAGTCTCACATATTTTGGGACTCGTACAGCTATAACTGCAACTTTTTTATTGACAGTAGGCCTGCTTACCTGTAGCGAACCCTGGGCTCAGGCTTAGGGATGTATCCAATGCATCTAACGAAGCTCGGCGCTGTGAGGCTTTGGTACTCTTGTCCTCACTCTTCTGGTTGGAACACCGTCATGTGAAAGTAGGACTTGGGCAGGCTTCCAAAAGCCAGTCGCGCCATCCTTCCTCAAAAGTCCTTGATAGCTTTTGTCGAATGGCAGCGAACTTCGTTCAAACTTGGTTCTGACTTGGAGATACGCAGTCTTCACCCCTTGGTCTTCCGTTCCCGCATGAGCAGTTTAGATATCCCAGCAGCAGAGAAATCAGCTGTGCCAACTCAAAATCTGTCTCTGAGGATTAACATGTCCCTATTAATTGTATGATCGGCGCATAGGAGACTTCTTACTCAACAGGGCAGAACGAGTCTGTCTTGCTTGGCAGCCACCATATCACAGCCTCAAAACGCCTGTAAGGAAGAGTCTACCTTTCACAGTGTAAACGGCGATACACTAAGCATCGGCAGTCTGAAGGGCGCTCCCAGCTTCAATCTCCTCCCGGAAGGTCTCTGGAATCACTTGAAAGGCACGGTATGAAGGAAGTTTGGGGACTGTTAAGCTGCGTTTTGCTCGTGTATGTAAGCAAAACCAATCATCACCTCTCTCTTCCCCTGGTGTAGGTAATAGTCGCGTTCATTTTTGTATAGCTCTCCAGTATCAAAGGCTCTAGGCCTTTTGGTTGACATGAATTCATCTCCGCCATCCTGGATAGTGATGAACTGGCTCATTGCTTGTACCCTGCAGTCGAACAATTACTGACCGCAGTGGAGCCCACACGCTCGCCTGCAGCAAATTTACCGCTCGAGATAGAATCGTTCTCCCGGCACCGGAAATGGCACCTCTTGAGCTTGGAGGCCGGAGTCCTATACGACGGACAGTTCCCAAGATAGCAGCCGGAGGTCTATTAGACCTCTAACACCATCCGGGCTATGACTCAGACTCTCGACGCAAGGATTGTCAGTGCCTGGACTTACAAAGGAGGGGATCAGAGCGGCAGCTTGCAGGAGGTCGAGAAAGAAACTGTAAGCATAAGAAACAACCTGTTGGCGCGACAAGCGCCGACTGCTCTTATCCGAGAGGCGGTAATGGTCTCCGCACACTCTTTCTCTTGCTGGATCAAGAAGATTCTGCACCATACTAGGCTTTTCTCCTCTCTTTGTTTTACATTCCTGAAAGTCTAATACATCAAACACTTCAAATTCTATTTAACCACCCACTTCTCCTTCTCCTTCACACAAACAACTCTGACTCCAGCAACAAAGCATGGATTCGCTTGCGGACCTCTGGGCTCGCTCCGGCAAGAAGAATCAGCGTCTCTACCAAGGCGGTACAGGAGACATTGTCAAGGAGCTGGAGGCATGGGTTGGGCGTCGCAAGGCCCACAACAACGTGTACATGGACGTAACATGGAAGATGTTCGATGCCATGGATTCGGTTCAACAGCTTTCCAACCAGCCTAGTGGGGTTCAGGAAGAACATGTTCTCGGGATGGTGGCTACACAGATTGGCAACCTTGACCGCACCCGGGTAAGTCATGTACCAATCGTTTGAAGCCTCGACCTCTAATTTAGACCCAGAACCTTGAGCAAGAAAAGGAGAGAGAGACGCTTCTAGCCGACTTCTTCCTCGCCTCTCTCCGAAATCGTGGTATCCGCTGGCCACAGATGCCTCGCACCGAAAAAACTCAAGCCGATGCGGACGTCTGTGCATTTCTGGGGACTGTGGATCAAGGCTTCAATCCTCAAATGGAGCTGGAGATCTTGGAGGACAGCACACGTATTACCCAGTGGCAAGCCGAGCTCAGAAAAAGAGACGCCATACGTGCACAGGAGATTGCCAACGATCCTATACCTGGAGTGAACACCCACCCCATTGGACTGGTCGGAGCTCGGTTCAGGCAAGAAGTTGCCAGTAACGCTTCGATATCTACGAGACAAGCTCTCGCCAATGCTGCGCATGGTATCATGATTCCAGACGCTGTGGACTTTGCTATGGGTAGCAGTTCTACGAACACAACCAGCACTCCTAGCGCCACCCGCGAAGCAACTCGCGCTACGGGCGAGAATGCCCCTACGACAGACTATGCGGCTGTCTACATTGCCGACATGCTTGGCAATATCAACATAGCTACGGGTCCTTCATCCATTACCGTGGCCAATTTACCTGACAGTATGAATACTGCTGCGGCTTCTTCATCGAGCAATGCTCCTGCCGCCCCTGACATCACAAATGTTGCTCTGGAGGCTTCGTCCAGCACTCCCGCCAACACCTCTGTCAATACAAACATCGCTGCGGTTACCGAAACTGGTACCAACGATCAAACCCTGCCTGGAACGGATGGCCAAGACGAAGTCAGCAAGATAACAAAGGCTAAGAAGAAGAGAGAGGGTAGGAAGAGAGCCAAGGCTCGAGCAAAGGAGGCGGCCACGGAAGCAGGAGATTCCGTTGGCAATGATGATGATGACGACGGGGATGTTCCGGACCTCATGGATGATTGAGAGGGTACCGCGATTGTATATCATCCTCGTGGCCGTCCGGCAATGGCATCACCACCAGAAATGTTGCATGGTTGAGGAGGAAACTCGCTCTTAATAGCAAGAGTTGCAGAGTCTATCCTAGGATATGTAAAGCCTGACGGTGTATCTTTGAATATGAAAAATCATGCACCTCACAAAGCTTACAAGATGTCGAACGCAGCAGTGATAGCGTACGATCACCGAACTTCACAACCATATCCCTAACCTTGATTTCAAATCTCTCCATCTGCTTAGTGACCTTAGACTTTTGTATTTAACTCGACAAGAAAAGTCTTCTGTGTTGACGCCAGATATGGGTAGAGGATCTGTGCGACTACACTGGCATTACGCCGACAGAGGGCATCAGGATCCTCCTACATGCTCGTTCATGGTGTATTCTTGGGGTTTAAGTTCTAAACGTGAATTTGACTGGGGCCTTTTCCTATTTGGAAATGGCAACTCGTTACGAGCTGCTATTTACAAGGAGTGAGCCATGATGACGATGTTTTGGGGGCTCTAGTTCTGTCTCGAAAGATCTTGAAGCCAATTCGACGTCTTTCATTGAAACAAGGTAAGCAGCCCATTGTCTAATCGTCTTACTGCCTCCCATCCCTCAACTTTCAGGAAATGCGAGTCCTCGGCTCTCTCTCAAAGACAATCATCATCACCCCACCTTCAACGTCATCATCCTTTCGTGCTTTCTCGCTGCTTACAAAACCATCATCCAGACTCTACCATCCCACAACAAACTTACAATCCAGTCATCAGATTCGAAGACTTTCATCCACACCGCTCTCCAATATGTCTTTCAGCAACGCCAAGGTGCCTGACGACAAGCCAGCCGATCCTTACAAGGCCACAAACCTCACAGATCCCGACCTCAAAGAGAAGGTCCAGGACCTCGTCAGCTTCATGGAGTCGTGCAAGTTCGGCATGATGACCACGCGGATTGAGAGCAGTGGTCTCCTCACATCCAGATGTATGGCATTGGCAGCCAAGGTAGGCCCATCACCTCCGGACCGTCTACAATGGCTGCTCCGCTACCAACAACCTAAGCTAATCACGTGCTCTCTCACAGGAAGGTGGCGGCGTCGACCTCCTCTTCCATACCAACACCGAGTCCGGCAAAACCGATGATCTCAAGTCCGAACCCAAGATCAACATCGCCTTCCTCAATCCCACTGGTGAATGGGCCTCTGTCTCCGGCGAAGCCGATATCGTCACTGACCGTGAAACGATACGCAAATACTACTCTCCTGCCTTGAAAGCGTGGCTAGGCGACTTGGAGGATGGCAAGCACGATGGAGGACCAGAAGACCCGAGGATTGGTGTCATCAAGGTGAAGGCTCTGACAGCAACCTATGCAATTGCTACCGGCACTTCGTTGGGGAGAGGTGCAGATATTGTCAAGGGGGCCATCACCGGTGCAGCGCCGAAGGTCAACAAGTTGAGGGAGATTAGTGAGGAGGAGTTGCAGCAATGTGAGTGATGCCCCAGCGTCTCATCATGTTCCCACTACTTGCAGATTCCTTGCTCAGGGGCCGATTCTCTCGCTGCAGACCAATCAGAATTTGCAGTCCAGCAAAGCATTCCATGCTAATCAATTATGCGTAAGACAGGGCGCCGAGAGAACAGCTAGATAGCAAGCTATGATGTTACTCTTGAACAACGTCTGATGAGCAGCGTAAGAGGCAGAAAACAAGTAATAAAAACTTTGGACGCTATATAGATAGTGTTTAATTGCAAACTGAGCTTGCCCGGAATGCCTTCAATTCCCATGAACCGCTATCTCATGTTGGGAGACAATGTCTCCGGTCAGATCTGCTGATTGGTTGCACGTGCATGGCATCCTAGACACCAGTCGAACGTCTCAAACCTGTCCAGACGCTTCTATTAGCCTGTGGATAGGTAAAGAGCCAGCACAAATTGGGAAACGTATGCCACTCGTTCACTTCTAGGATTTGCTAGTAGCTGCAGCTGCACTAGCGGTCTCTGAGTCCGAGACCATTTAACCTCACATCCAGCCTACTTCAAGACTCAATACTCGTACAATCCAGAAGTGAGTTCTTTGATAGAGCGAGGACACCAATAAATCCTTCCACTTAGCCGAACATCGGTTAATCTATTGGTGTCCTCACTCGATTATACGAGTATCAATATTGAACTTCCTCATCTAATTCTCCATACAATAACCGCCATCACCCATCCTCATCATCCGATAAAAGATGCCTCTCCCTCGTCTCCCCGTAAGAATGACCAACTACGTCAACTCCCTTACGCTCAGTGCCAGACGCAATGGTCTCGTCGTCGGCGGCCCGCTACCGGCGCAAGCTTTGACCAAGCTCATGAGCCACGGCAAACGACTGATCGGATACCTCAAGCAGCCGCGTGAATCTGAGACCGAGTGATTGAATACGCACCGGCTGATGACTTGCCAGGCGTCCAGAAGCTGATCCTAGCTTACACCGCCAGCTTCTCCGTCGTCTTCGTGTTCCTAATGCTGCTTGGGTTCGGCCCTCTTGGAGTCGGAGCAGGTTCGTCTTTTCCCCTTCCCCTGGGTTTACAAAGGCCGTTTGCGAGATGGATTCTGTCTTCTACGCCTCCTCACTGCAGACCCTCGCTAATGCATCCAAGGCTCTCTCGCTGCGGCCTTCCAGTCTGTGGTCTACGGAGGCTTCGTCCCGGCCGGAGGACTTTTCGCGAGCTTGACATCGATGGGGATGCTAGGGACTCTGGCGCCCCTGTTCCTGGGTGTTGCTGCCTTGGTTGCGACGGCGGTTACGGTGATGGTGTGGGGGTTCCGCGTCAGGCGTTGGCGGAATATGGGCAGACAGCATAGGTAGCTCGTCGGCGAGCACGCCAATGGGCCACGGTTTCCTACTGAGCACCCAACGTGTCTCAACCAAAGCATTTATTAACCAGACCAGTCGGAGGATCCTGAATGGATCTGGCCTGATCTGATTGGCATCTTTAATCGGAAAGATCCCACATCATGCGATCGAGGCGCGGAACATTCTCTCCACGCAAATAGCCCGGCTGTGCCTGTTTCAACCACGTTTCTGGCAATAGGCGACATTAGTTGCGCCCATGTGTTTATCTCTTCTTTTCACTGGATCCTTGCGTCAATTTTCCTGAACGTTACAGAGCTTGCCGCGTGCCTTCTGTCCTCTTACTTTTTACTGAAGAAGCAGCGAATTTCTTTATCTCACCCGTCCTCCTCCGTACCTGAAGACCAATCCTTCTTCATGTCTGAATTCTTTGTCCACTGCTTGAACCGTGGGATATCTCTAGGTAGCCAGCATGCCTCCCTTCTTCAAACTGTTCCACCAGCTCCCCATGCTGCTCGCCATTCTCAATCTACGATTTCTCCTAATCCACGCAACGCCGACATCCCACGCCTCACAACTCTCTTCTTTGTCCAATGACCTCTCTCCAAGGACTCAGCCACTCTACAGCGCAGCCCTCACCAGTCATCCCAAACGCGCCCAAGTCACCAAAGGTACCTTCTACCGCGGTCTGTGGTCCCTCGCCCTCACCACAGCCACCTTCCTCGCCCAAGGTCCATCCTCCTCCGTAGCCCCCGCAAGCGACGTTGAATTTTTCGCCCAGCAGATTCTAGACAAAGTCGCGACACGTATCGCTACGGGTGCTACCGAGAAGACCGCTTTCGGTTGGGGCCTTGAAGGCATCTCGATTGCCTTTGCAAGCTGGATCGACCCCGTGACTAACGTTGCGCCTGGTGTGCCGGTACGTTATACTTTCCGAGGCAATTCTTCCCCATTCATGCTCTGTTATGAGTCGTCGGGCATGTCTCAAGAGTTCTCTGCTCCGAAGACATGTCTCGTGACCCAGAATTCCACCCGAAAGAGCAATGCTGACTCCGAAATCATCAAGTGGGAGGTTGTTCAAGAATTCGTGACGAGGTTCGTCTTGTGGAGAGCGCAGCGGGGCACCGTATTGGCCTTCTCTGGGAATATCTGGGGGCCTGGTACGTACATTTCTGAGTGGTTCCTTCCCTTTCAGTGCCAAGTTCTGAGTTACGAGACATGTCTCCGGGGCAGAAGGCTCTTTCTACTGACCACTGCCGAGCCCTTTCTTGCGAGTCTGAGTTTTGCCTTTGAACAACAACGCTGACTCCGAAATGTGCGCAGGTGGGCAGTGCATCAAAATTGTGTTGGAGGTTGCGGGGACCACTGGGTTTGCGGAGGTTGCAAGCAACATTTTGGATAGCGCGAGTGAGATTCATGGGGGTGGTTGAGGAGGTGCCGTTGCCGTGAGAATTGCTAGTAAAGATCGCTAGCAGTGCTATCTTTTTCACTGCTGATGTTGCCAGTGCTGGTGTAAATCTTTCGCTGGTTTGCCAAATTGCCTGCATTGTGGTCAAGTTGTTCAACAGTATGTTGAACGACTACTTCCACGATGTGTTGAACGGTGTGTTGAATGCTATGTTGATCATGCTTTCAACAATGAATATGATGCTGGATGAGCACTCGTACATCCGTCACGCGCTGTATCTGCAGTGGTACAGTCCCTAGCGAAGGGCCAACATGAACAGAAAGCAACGTTTCTACTGGAACGTGTTTATTGTACATCAACAGACCACTTGTATGAGTCGATGCTCAGGACTAGAAAGGAAGGGAAAAGCTGGCTGTTTACCCGTAGGGATGCCATTAGGGGAAATTCCAGTTTGGGACGGCAACTGTTGTATCTGTTGTGCCGAACTAAAGTATCATATCCAGGAAACTTACCGTTCATGGCCCTACGTCTCCTGTTTGTTATTGAACAGCGAGATGAAACTTTGCTGGTGCTGTGCCGACCCTTTGCCTGCTGCATAAAGTGCCAAGACACTTGGTCCTACCCACAAAGTCCTCCTTTTAAGGTGTCTGGATGGACGGCTCGCTCTCTCCCTATGCATCTTGAAAGATGGCAGCGCCACATATACCAAACCTCAACACACTACGTAATGCGCGAGGAACAAGTCGTGGCCGAGGCCGTGGTCAAGGATCGGGAGGCCCATCTATTACAAGCTATGAGGAGGACAAAATCGCCAAAGACAAGATCGTGCAGCAGACTGATCAGGACGCCAGTGTTTCCAGACTGAGCGCCGTTGAGGCTGGATACCTGGATGATCCATTTGCCAAGTACTTTGTGTCGGGAGAAGGGCAAAGGAGACTCCCAATCATCAACAGGGGTACCTACGTTCGTACTAAAGCCATCGACAACTTGGTGGACGAGTTCCTCTCCAAGAATCCGGCTCAAAGGAAGCAAATCATATCCCTTGGTGCTGGATCTGATACACGTTTCTTCCGCTTGATGAGTCGAAGACCTGTTCCCCACGGCAGAGGCATTCAAGAATGTCCAAATGTCATATACCATGAAATCGACTTCCAAGCGAATACAATTCAAAAGCTTCATCCCATCAAAAAGCTTAGTGAGCTTTGCAGTCATGTTGGGACCCCTATGACCATTTCTCACAGCACGAACCCCTCAGAGGTTTACAATGACGATACTCTTCACGCAGACCAGTATCACGTTCATCCTGTTGATCTTCGAAACCTCGGCCCTTCTCGCCCCGCTCCCCGTTCTTTTGACTTCATTGATAATGCTCTACCCACTCTCATCATTTCAGAATGCTGTCTTTGCTACCTTCCTCCAGCTGCGGCAGATACTGTCGCGCTGTACTTCACACGGCATCTCTTTCCTGACAGCACGCCTGTTGGATTGATACTCTACGAGCCGATACACCCAAACGATCCCTTCGGTAAAACCATGGTCTCAAATCTAGCCGCGCGCGGCATCGTCTTACAGACGCTGAAAAGATATGGATCCTTGGAAGCGCAAGCAGCCAGAATGAAGTCATATGGACTGGAGGGTACTGGAGGGGCGAGCGTTAAGAACCTTTGGGACAAGGGCGTTGAAGGAAACGAGAAGGAGCGAGTGGCAGGCTTGGAGATGGTGGATGAGGTTGAGGAATGGGAGCTGCTGGCCGGACATTACTGCGTTGCTTGGGGCTGGAGGGGGGGCCCAGAGGATGGCGTATGGGATGGCTGGCAGAGTATGGCGGAACAATTGGGTGGGAATTGAAAAGTTGGATCATGGAAGGGAAGGCCTGCAAAAGTTCTGGGGTTGACTTGAACGAAATGATGAGATATGAGGAACGAATCCCTCTTGACTTAAGGCTTAGAGGTCACGAGTCATGAGTTTTGGTGCCACAAAAGGGTACCTGCCAGATTTTTGGTTTTTGGGCTCAACACAAGCTAGACTCAATGCTTACGTAGGGTCTAAGCCCATGATTCGAAGTCTTTGCTCTATGTTGGCCGTTTTCTCCATGCTGGGTATCACACATGTTCACTTTCGCACTTCGGAAAGCCAGACCGGCAGGCGGCAAACATGCAAACACTCAATCATCTCAACCCAGTCCTCACTATCTCCCACGTAGACCACCCCACATTTCCTCGGCGTGACTGCATCTCCCCCACTTTCAGTTTCCCATCTCATCACTCCAGCTTGTCCAAATGCTCCAACCTCGTCAGCACAACCTGCTTGCTCGTCTCCTCAATCTCACCAGCCAGGAACACTTCATCTAGTATCGCGTAGACCTATCACACAATCCGGGTTAGCCATAGGCTCATCCCGCATCCGACCACCAAAAGAACCACGCCTACCTTGTAGAAGTTGAACACCAAATCCAGCTCACACACGTTCCCAAAGAAACTATCCAGCACCTCGACGAAGAAATGTATTGCTTCCAGATACGCCAGCTCGTTGTCGTTGGCGTCCACGCAGACGCAGAAGAAGAGACCGGCGTAGCGCCGGTAGACTATCTTCAGAGAGCGGAATTCGACGAAGTTGGATTGATGCTTTTGGTCCCGAGGAGCGATGAGGCGGTGGACCTGTTGGTGTAGGGCGTGAGTAGAAGGTTGGATTGGGGTGGATGGTGGGCTGGACCGGGAGGGGGGATGGCATGGGAGGCACGTACCTCGCCCTTGAGCTTGATTTTCTCTTCATCCTGGGTCTTTGTTAGATATGACCGCGGGTTGGGGAGGAGGAGGAGGAGGGACTCACGCTGTATGGAGCGTACCATTTCGCTAGACGGGTCTTGCCTCTGGTGGAAGTCAGCCCATACAACATCGCTACGGAGGCATTGGGTGTGGAGCGTTAGGCGGTGGGACGCACTGCCGATTCTGGATCAGGATGAAAGACAGCACCATTTGTGCGATTGTAGGACTCTCACAGCTCGTACCATTTGAGGTCTTACGTGAATTGACTTGGATGCCAAATATGGGCCGGATATAGCCGGAGGTAAGCCAAACTACTCTAGTAAATACTTTGGGAGGACCATCTCAGCTAGTACTTCTAAAAACCTACCGCTTAAGGACAGGAACACTGTATGTACACGCTGTCGCTGTTGGCGTCAACCCTTGACTTCGATGTAGGGGATAACAAGATACTTCATGAGGCGGTTGAAATGGTACAAATTCTCAAAACTATGACGAGAGCTGCGTCAACGAGGAGGTAACTTTGCGATGTCTAATGATCTTGCCGGAGTGGTCCTGATCAGCTTCCTGGTTCCACGAGAAGGATCCCGAATACCTTGCAAAGAAGACACAAATTCCACGGTATCAAGCTCCCAGCTTTTCCGGGCGTCGATCTATCTTTCCGTTTGCTATAATCTCGCCAGCCATCATCCACAACTTAGGCTTCAGATTCTGGTCTATGAGACGTCTGTGATAGAGACTCCTTGCGTGAGCAAGGGTCGCAACCCTTTCTAGGAAGATTCTGACGGCTTCATTTTGCTCGAGGGTCCTCTGTTTCCGCAAGATGTCGAAGCCGAGCGGGACCATGATCTTGATATGATGTCGAAGCCGACTCTAATGGTCCCTACCTAGATCCAAACACTCAGATAAAATTGTTGACCACTCTGCTGCCAATTGTGTTCGTCCAGATCTGCCTCTTGTTCAGTACAGCAGATTAGACGGAGACAAATTAGTGCAGCAGTTAACAACCGGAAAACCCTTTGAGCCTTTCCAGGGATTCGTGCAATGTCTCGAAATCTTTCGCATTAAGGACAGTCTTCGGGCACCTTCGCTGTTGGGTGAGTCAGCAGGTGTCGATGGAGCATTTGAATGGCTGGAAAGCCTGATACGGACCTCAGGCGATAGCCAAACCGAACTTGACCTGGTAGATCGAAGTTGGGACCGTGCGAAGAGAAAGATGGTCAAGATTGTTTAGATACGGACAGGAGAGCCAGAATTTGGATCGTGTCTTGGACTGCGTCCACCGTGAAAGACAACCTGTTGACAATGGACCGTACTCCACTTCGTAAAATGGAATGGCATTGTTTCCCACAATACTATCACACCAAGGCCGCCCACCACGGCCCCAGTCGCCCCCCTTTCTTTCCCTCTCTTGCCCTCTCCTCCAGCTCATGTCTTTCCCAACAAAATCCCTCCACCCTCCTCGCGTCCCTCCTCAGCTCCCACCCTGGCACACCAACCAGCGCCACCACCAGCACCGACCCTAACACCAACATCGCCATCAACCACGCAGCCATTATTCCATAGGCCAGTTCAAGTCTCCACTCCCCAAACGTGTACGGCGGCAAGCCGTCCCATGATGCAGGCACGACGTACATGCCCCACAGGTAGGGCACATCCCACATTAACACACCTCCGGAGAGCAGATACATGAGTTGACCCACGCGCAGATTCTGGATAAAGGTACGCGGCTCCGTGATGAGCAAGTCGGCAGACGTGGTGCTGATGGAATCTAAACGGCTGAGTGTGCCGCTCCAGAAGGGGCAGATGAGCAGAGACAACGACGTAGCTGAATAGTACGCGGCGTAAGGGACCATGAGCCATTTCGTGATGTACGGTTGGGCGAAGAGGATGGCATTAGGGATTTTGGGGTTGGTGATGATTACGGGTGTGAAATGTAGGATTGTGAGGATGATTGCGGTCAAGAGGCCGAGGTATCAACTAGGTAATGAAAGCGCGCGCGACATTGGAAAAAGAGCAATGCATTCCAGCTTGTCTGACACGTTTTTTCGGACAGCTTGCCTGACTTCCGATGCCCTTTGGATTGCCATAATCATTACATGCCCGAAGCTAAAGCTAGGCCAATCCTCGCTGACAACGGCTCCTCTCGGCTACTACGCCTTGTTCGCGTTGTATTCTCTTTGAGCTTCGACTTCTTTCCTTTCTGTTCATGATTTGGAAGTTAACCGATAATTCATACAACCAGGGGCCAGACCAACCGTTATAACTCGGTCCACTGAGCTTCAGCCTCCTCGTGGGTGAAACGCTCCCTGTCATCCACCTCGAAGGCCACATGCTTCAGATCTTGCCATGAATCTGGCTTGTAATAAAGAGTCAGACCTTCCAACCAGTCTGCGGCATCGGATTGAGGCATCGGCCTGATGACGCTTTGCTGGAGGTACTAGTACGGGAAGATAGCAACCCGTTCTTCAGGTGTGGCTGCCGGGATTCTCAATACTATCCTTCAGATTGGTCTGAACGCCAGAGTGTACAAGATGCGGAGAATACGCAGTTTTTCTCGCCTTGCTCATCGGGATGGGAGTACACGTAATATACGGAATGTGTCCTGGGGTCATTGCCAATGTAAAGCGGCGGATAGACTGGGTCGGCACTAACCTCCACTCTCATCTCACCCCACATCTCACCGTAAGAGATGAAAAGGAAGGTCGAGAGTGATATGAGATCATCAGAGCCGGTGGTCTCGATAACGCTGAAGCCTCTTCGTTGTAAGAATTTGATGTCAAGGGCGTTGAAGACTGGGTCTTGCAGGTAGATGTTTTCGACGGTGGGTTTGGTTTCTAGCCACTGATTCGCACCTTGCCAAGGGATTTTGACGGCTATGTCTGGACGCACTCAGCAGTTCGACCCAGCTCTCAAAAGCAACGGGCTGAGACGAAGAGTCGTTGTGGGTTTTGTAGCATGGAGATGTTGTGTCCGCAGAGAAACTACCAAGACACAGGCACATGCAGGAGTTGATCTTGAGAGGTTCTTGCTTCAACAAAGCATGGGTGAAGAGTACAGAATAGTTCTTGGTAGGCAGCCGATGCTGTCCAAGTTTTCGTGAACAGTTCATGTTTCGTCAATAGAGTCTGAATGGTAATGCCTGATCTTGGAGGACATTTCGAGCGTGCCGGCCGTTTCGGCATTGCTAAGCCCACAAATCGCTCTGCTGCAATAGAAATAGACGGCTTGTGCGGTCAAGTCACTGCTAGAACTGTGTGCTAACGGGTTGTGCGTATGGGTATGTGGTCCGAAGGGAGTGTGGTCGATGTTGACGGCTTGTGTCACCGTAAGGTAGGAAATCCGAAGAAGGAACCCTCAATTTCTTGGTTTTATGAGAGCGCGATGATGGATTTCCAGGTTCACTATCATGTCTTTCGACCTCGACAGACCTAGTGCAAGTTCGCAAGGGGACTGTAGGTTAAGGGTTCTTCAACTCCACTTTGTCATAAATAAATACATCATTTCGAGCACCGACACCAGCGACGAGTTTAGCGCCTTCTTCTCAATCCTACACGTCATGTGTACCTCGTAAGCTCCAGATAGCAGCAGTATGTATCCACGCCAGCAAAAAAATCGGCTGCTAATATGGACTAGGCGTCAGGTAATGTTGCATTGTCCGGAGAGCCTGGTGACATTATACTGCCCAAGGAGATCTCAAACCCACCACCACTCTCCTACGAGGAGCACCAAGGCCGCACGGCTTTGAGCATTTCATGCCATGGAAATCATTTTCAGCCGATGGAATCCTCAATGGCGAGCCCAATTTCGTGCCATCCAAGCCGATCTCGGCGGCGGTCTCAAAAAGAACCGAGTCTCATATCTCACGATTGAGCACGTGGGGAGCACGTCAATAGCCCATCTTGTCGCGAAGCCGATGCTTGATATTCTTATCGTTGTCGCCGACGCAGACTTCAATGACAGTCATCGAGAGAGACTCAAGGAAGTGTTGTGTTTCAGCTGGGATTTGCATCACGGAGGCTATTCGTACAAAGGCGAATCTAGCATCAAAGGCCGATGGAACTTCACGCTTCAAGGCGTGATACCCGAGCGGAAAATCGCAGTCGTGGCGGAGAACAGCATTTATCGGAGGAGCTGCTTGGCATTCAGAGATACGTTGAAGACACAGTGGGAATTGCGCGAGCAGTATAGTCAGGTCAAGCAGCTCTTAGCGCGGACAGAGATCCAGCGCATCATGCAATATTCTACGGCTAAGAATAAAATCGTAAGCAAGGTCCTGAAAAAGGCCGGATGGACTGACGAAGAGGTTGATGAGAAAGAAGGCATGGTGAAGAAATGGTATCCTGAGATTTGAAGGCCCAAGGCGCGAGGAAGCAAGCGTTCGACTCGGCAGAGGAAAGGGGGAAGACAGCGATAGCGAGCTTCTGAGGTCTACCACATCAGGATCATGATACTCAACAGAGATTTCACTCTTGTTTTCCCCTTCGAAATGTCTTCGGGGTGCATACGTAGAGCGTACGTCAGCTTAACGTACCAAGCAAGGAGTCGAATTCCGGCATTGAAGTTCAGGATCATAATCGTTTTGTGTCATACGATCTGACAATGAATCAACATAAGCTTCCATCTCGGGAATTGCGAAACAGTGAAGGTCTGTCCCCGGAAACATGTTCTCGGACAAGCTAAAAATTGCGTAGTCTATTCGAGCCTCAAAGTTAGAGGTTCGAACGGCAGAAACGCGTCCAAGCGTATATGATCTCTCGGCCTGAAGCCTCTCCTTGATCCATCATCAACCAGGGCGGCGGGCATCGCGTTCGTCATTCTTCAATACATCTCTCGTCAACCAGAAAACCAGGTCGAGATTCTCAACCGGTCAGTGCTGAACACCGCCATCCTTGAACTATGTATTTTCCTTTCGACCGAACTTCTCGTATACAGTGCATCAAATGAAGTGTTAAGCATCGTAATTCTGTTCAACACAGTCCTCTTCGCACGTTGGAACAGATCGAGGTTCTTCAACATCGCAAACTTTGAGAGTCGTGTTAACACATTTCAGATTCACGGTCAAATCGTTCCTTCAACACAGATAGATCCCAAACACAAATCAAAATGGAGGTTCCGAGCTCTACAGAGCCTAGACTCCGTGTTCTTCTTCAACAGTCTTCCCCGGGTTGAAGGCAACCAGCGGGGAACTGCAAGATTTGGTCGTGACTTTGACCTTTCTTCAACACATTTCCCCTCAACATCCTCGAAATGGTAATCCGAATCGAGGCTCTTGACGGGACGTCCAGAACCGCTGGACGAGGACCAGAAAGCCATTGAACAATCAGGAGCATTCAAACATTGAGAAGCAGGCAAGCTGTCGAAAATAGCGGCGGTCTGGGGCGCTACACCCTCATTCTTGCAGCAAATTTCTAGAAATAGCGTTGCCCTCAGAAATCTCTTCGATGATGCTGTTTTAGGCGCATTTCTGTGGGTTTGTACCTCTTTCAACTGTCAGCCCCTTCCGATATAACGTCATCCCAGAACCCCCTCCGCAAAGGCAAAGTCCGGATTTATGCTCTAAACCCCGAGTCCTCGCAACCTCAATTGGCGGGCCTCATAATCTTGACTTACCTATTGTTTACCATTCCTGCGAATCGATCATGCCATACCTGACCATTCCCCACGGCCGGATCTTCTACACCGACTTCCCACCCCACGACTCCCCTCCCCGCGCGACGCTCATCTTCCACCACGGCCTCGGTTCCACCCACGCCTTCTACCGGTCTATCACCCCCGCCCTGACCTCCCCCCCGCACAATTTCCGCTGCATAACCTACGACACCATTTCGAGTGGGCTCTCCGATCTTGCTTCCGAGCCTCAATCAATGCAAGGGTTGGCACAGGATGCGATCGAAGTCCTGGATGAGCTGGGCGTGAAAGAGAAGGCGATCTTTGTAGGACATAGCATGGGTGGTGTCGTGGCGTCGGAAATAGCTGCTACCAAAGGGGATAGGATAAAAGGGTCGGTCATGTTGGGGCCTCCGTTGCCCAGTCCCACTGTTGAAAAGACGTTTGAGGGACGGGTAAAGGCGGTAGAAGAAGGTGGGTTACACTCTGCGGAAGTGCGTTCGTGGATCTGAAACAGGGCATGTGAAACTGAATTGGCAATGGACAGGGGGAATGGAAGCAATGGCAGACACCATCCCTACTGGTGCCACTGGCTCCAAATCAACGCCTCTGCAGCACGCTTTCATCCGAACGCTGCTACTGAGCCAGAGACCTGAAGGGTATTGCTCGATGTGCAAGGCTCTAGGAGGCGCGTCGCCGCCCGACTATGCTGCCATTAAGATGCCGACGTTGATGGTCGCGGGGGAGGAGGATAAGAGCGCTCCTTTGGCTGGGTGTGAGGAGATATTTAAGAGGACTGGAGGTGAGAAGAGCATGGAGGTTGTCAAAGGGATGGGTCATTGGTTTTGCATTGAGGACCCCGAGTCGATTGCGAAGCTGATTGGAGCATTTGTTGAGAAAGTGATACAGGCAAATTGAGCCAGTAGCAGTCATATAGGATGAGAGTGAATTGGATTGCAGGAACGCTTTATGGTATGCATGAAGGTTCTGGAATCATGCCTAAGCGTGCGCAAATTGGCTGCTGTACCTACCACCTGGACCTACCTCCCACCCTGTCCTGTTGTCAACAATCACTGGTCTATGGCGGTGATGGTGAGATCGATGCCCACTCCGGTCAGGGCTGCGGCTTCGGCGTCGATGGGAATGAGGTGAGGAGTCATCTTTGCTCCCGTGATGACGCCGTGTGGGTTCGTCAGGTTTCGCACCATCATCAAGTCTGAATCCCTCTACATCATCTGCTTCTCGTCTCCTCCTCCTTCTTCTCTCCCGCCGTCTTTCTGCCTCCTCAAGCTCCCTAATCTCGCGACCCTTTTCCTCTTTCCATTTCTTCCTCTCGCGCTCTACTTCCCGCACTCCGGCTACCCCTTTCTGAATCGCAGACAAAGGATCGTCAGCTACAGTCCTAATCTTCTCCCTTTCTTTCCTTCTGGGATCTTCATTGCCCCATACATCTTTTGAAGGCGCTTCTACTTCTCCACGTTCATCCTCAACCGCGTTGATTTTATGGTACCAAGGCTTTTGACCTATAGCCTGCTTAAAGCCAGCCGCATTTGAGAACCGCATGGTGTATTGATCCTCAAACTCCTTCTGCTTCTTCGCCTTCTCGGCCTCAACTTCTGCATTCTTGGGTGCGTTGTGCCTTGTTCCATCCACAGGAAACAGGTTGATGTGACCTTTCACATCCGTAATTGGGGCATCACTGCTCTTTTTGGTTTTCATTTGCATCTCGGCCTTCGCTGGTACGAGAGCGTTATTCTCCTGAGCGAATCGTATGTCCCGGTCGGTGTCATCTTCCCCAGCAATTCTTTTTCTTTTCCTCTCCCGATCGGGCCTATTCTCTCTACTTCGCTCATTTCGTTCTTCTTCAATTGGAGCTCTGGGTGCTTCGAAGGGTAGACCGCGGAGTATCTGTATGCGTCGTTCGGCATCGACTTCCTGCATACGCTGTTCCTCGCCCTCCTCCCGGGCAGCAGCTGCAGCCTCGTCGCGCTTGACCTTGGCAATGTTGTCGGCATTGTAGACGTTCCATGACTTCTTTCCAAGCAGGTGTCTAAAGTGATGTAAGCATTGATTTCAGGGCCGGAAGAAGAGACAGAGACTTACAGAGGCATGGTAGGCTTTATGGAAAGCGAAAAGCAAGTCCAATATTCGAAAGACGAGTAAGGGTCTACCTTAGTTAGTGTTGAAGGTTTTGGTACCAAGGTCGTTATTAATGGTATTGAGTAAGGTAGCTATGAGTGCGTTATTTACATAGCGGGGTACTAGAGTAACGTCATTCAGCTAATCCATTACCTTAGCGTAATGTAATACTGGACTCGAAAAAGACCAAATTCCTATCTTCATTCCTTTCACATGGTCTTTTCCATGTATTCATGAACTTTCACTTCTTGGAGTCTATTTTCCTTTCCGGAGGCAGCTTGAGGAACGCTTGCCAATTACCGAAGCCGCAGCTGGCCTGCTGAAATCGTATCCTGATTGCTTGCTTGAGTTTGATGCGTGAACAAGGAGGAGACCTTTCACAAGCTTGTGTGCTGAAAAGCCTTGATTTGTGTCTTGCGTTTGAATACTCTATGCTGATTGGGGTTGAGTAGTCGCTAGAATGGCTGAAAAGTTAGGGGCGAAGTACCGGCAGGAAATTCAACAGGTAGGGCTATATCCTTTGCCCTTTAGATGAATGAGACATTTCTTTGCCTACAAGAACACATCTGATGCATCCTGATTCGGTGGAGTGCGGCCATTGAAAAAAGCTGCATACAAGTAGAATCCTACTGGGAAGAAGTCTATGTCTCGTGTGATTTGAACGGCAAAGACGTTGTCCCAATGCTGTAAATTTGTTACGAATGCGTGAGGTTACGGTCAGTGTACTTGCTGTCAGAGAGACAGTAACCATTATGTCGAAGAAGCGGCTCTGTTTACAGATGGACCTGTGTTGTCACTTTTGCCTCAACACTTCCATCCTTCTTAGCAGCCAGGTCTGATTTCACCCGGAATTACCAACCATCAGGCACTATGTCTCTATTGAATAAAACATTTGTTCCACTTCCAGGGGAAGAGATAGCTGAAGGCTACAAGCGCATTGTGCTGATACCTGCTCTCGAACAGATGATGTTCGTGGCCGGCGAAACAGGAGAGCCATCAAGCGAGACAACAACACTCATCGAACAGATCGTCCACGAACAAGTCATAGAAATGGTCAGCCTCTCGATCAGTGTGTGCTTGCGAAGCTAATGTCAAAGTAGCTCAAAAGATCCACAGCTCTTGCTACTCGACGAGGCTCCCGCGCAATCACCACCGCTGATCTCTTTTTCCTGATCCGCCACGACAAAGCAAAGACTTCTCGTCTGAAAACATTTCTTTCCTGGAAAGATGTTCGAAAGAGTGCCAGAGAGTCTGACGACAAAGGAGGCGATGCCGCGGATGCTGCAGTAGGGGATGATGCTCTCGGCGGCGTTGATGTCGCTGGTGGACCCTCGGTGCCTGTCAGCGAACTATCCAAAAGAAGCAAGAAGAAGGTTAAGCTTCCGTGGGACATCTCAAGCTTCTTCACCGAACAGCTGCCGGAGGGTGAAGACGAGGATGACGAGGAAGAGGAAGAAGCAAATGCTGCTACCATTGTCCGCCTGCAAGCAGCCGACAGACGTACCAAAGGCATGACAAGGGATGAATATGTTCATTACAGTGAATGCCGCCAAGCTTCTTTTACCTACAAGAAAGCCAAGCGATTCCGCGAGTGGGCTGGGTTTG